AAAGTTAATTTCGGTAAAGAAATCAATTTATTGTGTTCTATCATGGGAGTTCTACTTAATGAACTTAGAGGTAAATTTTCGTCACTAGAAACCGATTGCGTTTCTTCATTAATTTTATCAATTTTTCGTTTAACTTTACTTTTCCATTTTAAAATTTTCTCCGAATATTCATCAACCGAAATTATTTCCCTTTCAATTTCGTCAACGGAAATAAATGCCTCTATCTTTATGTTAAGTTTTACAAGCTCATATTCCTTTTCAATCAATTGATCGTATAAGGTTTTTAGTTCTTCATTTTTATTCTCATCATCTAAATTTTCATCTTTATAACAGGATTCTATTTTATTAAGCAGTTTAGTCGTTAATGCTCTATATGTTGTTCTCTTTTGAATGGTTTTTTTCTTCGAGTTTTCATCAATTGCATCTGTCTCATTATCACTGACCGACATGGTTATTCAAATTCAATTCTAAAGTTCCCAAATTCAAATTTCAATTCTATTCAAGTTTCAAACAAATTCAAAAATCAAAGTCACTTACATGAGTCATCCACATCTGCCGCACGTAATGGCGCCACAAATGAAAAAAGGTTTTTTCGTCTCGGGGAAAATAATCACTTACCATGCCGGTTTTAATTACACAACTTTATTGAGACAAAACACATAGAGAACTAAAACTACATATACATAAAACAAAAATTAACATTTACTATTCACGTGACTTTATACTGCCATCTATATTTCATTTTGAAAACTACTTTAAGCATAAACAACAACTAAGATAACTATGATAACCATCGGGGTAAAGAGTATCATTTAGAGAATGTGGGTGAAAAATTCTTCCTGGTAACCGGTATTAAGATATACTACAAAATAATGCGAAAAATGAAATACTGTGTCTTTTAAAATATGCCACTATTGTCAATTTCTACCTGTTTCTTTACCATTGACATTTTTTAATTAAACTATGTTTTGAAATATAAAACTAAAATGTTAAAATATTAATTTTTTTTATTTTTTTTATTGGTCATTTTGGGTTTTTTAAATGTGGGAACATTATTTATATTTTGCCCTCACAGCAGAATTGCAGCAATATTGACACAGAACATTATTGGACTCTTGCAGATAGAATCTTTCTTTGGGTACTAAATTTTTATGGTTTTTATATTCAACAGGTTCTTTCTTGTGTTCAGCTAAAATTAGAAATAATAATCAAATCAAAATTTTAACAAAAGTGTAAAAGATAATTCTCTCTTTAAACCATGCGAGGATATTTTAGTGTCATGATCTGTAGCGCCAACTTCTATCGCCAAGATGTGCCAAATAGATTTTAAACTTGCTAGATTCATTTTTTTAAGAAACAAAACCATGTAGATGTTTGCCAGGGGGTTGCAACAATTTATAACTTTCGAGTTGGTTCCTTTCTGTGACGTTTTATTTCAGTTCCGCTGTTTAATTTGCCAAGACTTGGTGATTATTCTGCCACAGATCACATAGCAAAAAATTCCCTAATAATGTTCTTTCCTTCAATTTTATTTTAAAAAAAAAACATATTTTAATAAAATAAGATTTTAACTGGGGATTTGATTACAAATTGTGATTTATAGCAAACCAACTAATCAGTGCTGTTCATTTGTATCTGTTTTTTTTTAATTTGGTTGAAATTAAATCAATCCAATATTTTTATAATATTCACCCATGAAAATTCTCAATCATGAATTTTAAATTTCACATTATCATTGCTTTCAACTTGAAAGAGATTTCATCAGAAATATATGCAGTGTTTTGTTTACTTTTTCAGCAATTATGTTTACTTTTATTTGAAATTCTGCTGTCTTTCATTGCTTAGTTATGATTATTGATATTCTTTTTTATACAAACCCATAAATCCATATAGTATATGATAAATTCTAATCCCACATTTGAGTACTTACTGTTAAACGCAATGATTATATCGTCATTTTAACAGTTATTGCAATTGAATGTTAGCATAGTTTATAAACTCTGACATTTTAAATATGATATTATTTATTACAACCACTAAATTTTTAAACAAAACAGGCAACTGAAAAATCTCTTCCCGAAAAGATTTTGTCATCAATCTTTTTTTTTAGATACTTACTGCTATGGACTTCCTCATTTTTTTAAACCTCATAATGATTTCCAAAATTCAAAAAAGAAAATAATTATTGAGTTTTCCCTTCTCAACAAAATGCAAAAATATTGATCACAATATTAGACTAAAAAAAGCAAGAGTCAATATCTCAAGAAAATACACATTATTTTGCAAACTGTTATTTTTATTAAACATTTTCAGGCTCTAGAAATTCTTCAAACATCTCAACAAGATCTATATGAGACCTTTCCCTCGCTATATCAATTGGTAGTTTATCAAGATAATTCTTGATTCTTCTGTCTGCGCCGCTTTCGAGCAATCTAATGGCTGCTTCTAAACATCCTTCTCTTGCAGCTGCGAAAAGGGGCGTTTCTCCTTCCCCGTCTTGTAAATTTGGGTTGGCTTTATGACTCAGAAGTAAGTTAATAGCAGACATATTATTCACGGCAACTGCCCAATGCAGTGCAGTCTTTCCTACAAATAAATAAATTTTGCTTTTAATTACACATTCTAACAACCTACACTAATTATAACCTGTAATGAAACAATAAATACTAGGAGGCTCCGCCCCCTGCTCGCTAACGCTCGCCAACCCCCGAGAATTGCTACGCAATCCTATGTGGTTCACGTTGTGAACCATGGCTCGCTCGCCAATGAACACAATGTTCTAGCACAAAGACATAGTATATTATCATCAAAGACATAGTATTTTATCATCAAAGACATAGTATTGTACTTATGTAGAAGAATTCTATCAATGTTCTTATTGGCTTTTAAAAAAGTATATTAGCTATTTAGATTGCACATGGTGAAAAAATCAAAACATTAGCTAAATGAGAAACATATTAGCAAAATAAATTATCAAATATTGCAGTTACTCACCTAAATTCAACTAAATGTGTATAATAAATTAGTTAATGCTAGAAATTCTGAAAGTTTTAGAAAAAAATTTTATTATTTAAAAATATAAACTTTAAACCCTAACTTTTCCTTGTGAGATAATAACCCTCAAAAAGTCTTTCATTTTCAAGAACACAAAAATTTGTTTTATCGCCAAATGAAATATTTTTTGGTGATCAGCATTATTGAAATCAATTTCTATATTAATTAACATTTGTGATAAAGTACATAACATTTTAGAACAAAATGAGGATGTTTTACATACAATAAGTTAAAATGCATGGCTGTTAGCATTACCCGAGAAATACCACGTGGAGGTCGCCATGCTGCATTTCTCATCGGAGAGTTTTGATTTTGGCAGGTCCCCTTGCCTACTGCCAATAGAAGTTTCAATTAAATTTTTTCCAAAAAACATTTTTTTCTGCAAAGCTCTAAGCAATTAATACTAAGCAATTAGAATTTCTTTGAAAACACAATTATAGATTTGGCCTCTTGGAGTAATTACTGAAAGGCTGTCAAATGACTTAACTCTTGACAGGCCAACATAAAGTTGTCCATGACTAAAAACTTGTTTAGTCAATACTAAACTGATTTTCTCAAAAGTCTGACCTTGTGACTTATTTATAGTCATGGAGAAGGTCAGCCTAATAGGAAATTGTTTTCTCTTAAAAGAAAACTGCATGTTTTTATCAGATGGGATTAGAGGTATTCTCGGAATGAAAAATGTACCTGCTTCATCATCATCAATCAGTTTAGCTTCAATTAAATTACGCTGCAAGTTTGTAACAATTAATCTAGTGCCATTGCAGAGTTCTTTAGATGGCATTAAATTTCTCAGTAACATTATTATGGCACCTTTCTTAATCTTTAATTTGTGGGGAGGCATTCCTGTAGGAGTGATGGTGTTCAAAAATTCCTCAGGGTAGCTTAGTTGATCTTGTGGATAATCACTAATGACAGTGTCCACACTTTCATAAATTTTAGTAATTTCTGGCAGTAGTTTCAGCACATCATTATTGGTACAACCTCTTTGGTTATTTCCGTTTTTAAAAGTGCTATATGTTGAGCCATCTCAGCTAGATTTGGCATGTGCAGTGGCGTATCTAGGGTATGGCAAGTATGGCGATTGCCATGGGCGCATTATTTCAAAAAGGCGCAAAATCAATCAACATCAACGATTATTTTCTTACTCAAAAATTTCACTAATTTTTTTTTTCAAGTTTTGGCCGAATTAAAAAAAGCATACAACATTTAACCTTTCCTCGAGAGCTCGAAAAGAAGACATCGAGGTCTTTTGAGGAACTCTTTTTATAACTAGGGGAGTGAAGTATGAAAGGGAACCGCTAATAATAAAAACAAAGTAGGTGACGAGCGTTAAACAATTTTAACCTCCCACTGTTTTTAATTTTTTTAATAACTTCGTTTGAAAACTCATAGACCACCTATCAGTTAGGGATAATAGGAGGGCCAGGGTTTCCAGCGCTTTTACATAACTCGAAAAGAGCGGGAAATCTAAGTTGTTATATTGGATTCAACATTAAAAAAAATTGGGGGGAAAGGAAAAAAAAAACATTCCACATACTGTTTAAACGACTTGACGCCTGTGTGATAACAATTCATACACGTTTCTGCATTCATTCACTAGACACTTTTCCTTTCATTAAACTTTCAAGTTAAGCAACAGAGGATTCGAAATAAATAAAAAAACTTAATATTTATGAATACATTCAAGATAAATACTAAAATAAATCAGTAATAAAAAGTTGCTTTTTCTATTATATTTACGATGATTTCGGCAAAAACCAAATTTTAATTATAATATCGTAATTTAAAGATTAATGCAGAGTTTTTAATAATTATAATTATTACTCTCTTTACTAACTTTTTGATACATTCCAATAAAAATATTTTTAATTTCAGAGAATTTCCTAAATAATTAACATTTAATGTCGATCATAATCCTTTGATAAAAAGACTTTTAGCCCCATATTTAATTTTATAACCGTCGTTGAACAGCCGACCTAATTCCGTAGCTTTGTAATTTTGAACCCAATCCAGAAGACAAGGGAACTCCTATATCGAGTAATGGGAGAAATTTGCCTTCGTGGAGTAAACCCGCATTTGCGTTACATGGAGAGGAAGACCACGAGAATCTCCCACGGTTAGCCTGACGGCAAGGGGACTCTGACCCATGATCAGTCTACAACTCAGGATATTTCCATAATATTTCACGTCAGCACTGTGGTCGGTGCAAGCCGGGTGCGGAATTCGTATCAACTGGGATTCGAACTTGGTTCGCCTCATTGGAAGGCGAAAGCTCTATCCCCTGAGTCATCGCGGCTCCCATATTTAAATTAAAATGAATTTAAACTTATTTTTTTCTAAAATGTAGCTTCTTATTGCTTCACGATACGTCAAAGCTGTAATAGAAAGAATTTGAGTTATCGCTGATAAAATGAAGAGACAAAATGTAAGCTCATTATTCATTATAGAAAATAACAGAGAATTTAATTTTTCTTCTTTTTTTTAGTGTATTATTAATTTCATTTTTTCTACTAAAAGCGAAAAATAAAGCACAAACTTAACGTAAAATTTTTTGAGGAAAATGAAAAAAAATTTTTTTTTTTCCAGGTATAAACGATGATAAAATAAACATTTAAATAATGTTCATTCAAAAGGGTTATTCACGAGTAAGAGTTATAAATATTAAAGTTCCCAATTTTATAAACAAGCAAGACATTATTTATAAGACTTTATTGAAGCTGTAACTCAGAGTCAAACTATAATATTGCACAAGGGGAAAAAAAACACTAAAATAGCAACAAAAATTCATGGTTACATATAAAAATAAAATAATTAACTTAATAACATAATTTAGATTACAAAAGTATGGAATATATACTAGCATTAAGAATGTATATTGTAGAATTGTATTGAATGTGTATTGTAGTACTATGTATGATGTTATAGCTCTTGAGTAGCAAATATATAGATATAAGGGAATGCCTTTTTCCTCGGCAATACATAAGATATTTATTTAAAATCGTGCACTTTTTAATAATAAGAACAGAAAACAAATCCTAAAAATAATATTTATTGATTTCGTTTATTTAAAATAGTTTACTTAGACAGTCATTTAAATTTAAAATAATTTATTAGGAAAAAATGCTTTTCTACTTAGATTATTTGATATTGTTTATGTATAATTGAAAATGCTATACGTTAAATATAAATTATAGTAATATAAGCTAAATCTTTAAATTAAGTATATTTATTTATATGAAAAAATTAGTACAACAGACTAAAAAAATGAAAGGCGAACGAAAGAAACTTTGGAAGTTCAAAAGTTGGTGACAAACGTAAAGAAATTTTTCACCCCTTATCTTAAGGAAAGTGAGACCTCCAGTTAAAAGAACAATTTTCGGGGGAGGAAATGAATGGAACCCCTTCAGGCAGCAAAACCAGATGGCCAGACGGTGATGACCAGAGGACAGAGAGATGTGAAAGCCATGGGGTGTCCCAGTCTAGCTTAGACTAATTATTCTGTAGTGAAATGCTTGTAAATCTTAAATTTTATCAGCGGTTAAAATCTCTTTGAAAAACATTTTCGGAGTTTGCTGAATAGATGTCAAATAGAACCCCTTCTATAAATTAGCGTAAATGGAGATTTTTGCCACCCATGGTGGGAATCACCTCCACTAAAGTGTGAAATACTAAAAATAGGAGGTTCCTCTGATGACTCGCTCTACAAGTAATTTAAACCAATGGAACGATTTAATAATGAATACACTTCGCTATTTTGAAAAATAAAGGGCAGGCGTTATAAGTAGTTAGATGCTCATACAAAAAATTCTGCTCAATTTAGTTAATGTTTCAAAATTTAAGTCAAGAAAATCAAATATTTAAAGTCTTTAGATTTTTATAATCTATTTTGATGCAGCTTCTGGGCATTTATAGTTGGTTCATAGATAAGTGAACAACGTGTACTACAAGGATTTTCTTTGATTGTAAGTAATCATTTCCTAAATATTTAAATTAATGCATTATACTTAAATTATTAATTACCGTTATATGCGTTCGTTATATTTTCTAGAAATGATGTCTATATGCAGGGATGTCAACTGCTAAGATTTCTCCGAAATATTTTATTAAGTGGTAGAGAGTTAAAAACTAAACCTTGCAAATTTTAGATGATATTGGTAAAATTTGAAATTCTTACCACGAGGTAACTGGAGTAAAATTGTATTTCATTGAAAATTTCGAATTATACATACGTAGTGGCGGAAAATATAATTTTAAATCAAATTTACATAAACCAAGAATAAAGCATCAAAACATAAATTTTGCTACCACTAGAAAAAAGTTCCCCATTAAGTTGCAAGTTAGCATCTCTGTATGTGTAGATCGAGTGGGACATTTGCGCTCCCTCCTTTTAATGCTATAAATTAGAATTTATAATATTTTTTAGTTTTTATTGTTACTGTTTTATGACAGTACATTTAATATGCACATAGATTTTTTGTATTGTATAATTAAATACTCGTTAATGCATTATAATTATAAATAATATGTAATAAAAAAACAACAAATGTTAAAATTTCTATTGTTAGTAGGAATATATTTTTTTAATTTTCCTGAAAAATAATTGCGATAAGTAAATAATTTTGTGTTTATTACGTAACATTCATTACGTTCAGCAAATAGTTTCCTGCAACCGATAAATGTTTTTCTTTCTATTCATAAATAGATAGATTTTGAGTTTAACTATTTGTTTTTTTTCCCCCTTGTTTTCTTTGAATGGTTATATTAAGGAACAATGCTTTAAGTGTAAGTTTCAATAATCCTTTTACTTACAAATTGATTTTTTTTAATTTATAAAGACATGTTTGTTTTGTACTTTTAAATTACATTTATTTAATATTTATCAACCTTTCTTCGAGTTATGGAACAGGCTTCCATAGCATCTAAGGTGCAAAATTTTGTAATCTTTCTTTCCCCTATATCTTTTATTTCAGATTACAATTTTCTTCCCTTTTCAAAAAAAAAAAAAAAAAAAAATTAGATTAAATAATTACTTTTTTTTAAATTTTATAAGTCTTTTACAATACATATCACTTACATTATGTTTATATCACTACATATTATATTACTTGAAAAAAAATCAATAAAGTAACAATCACAATAATTATTTTTCATTAAATAATTATCTTTATAGTAAGAATATAAAAAAAAACAATAAGTATTTTATGTATTGAAAAATTAGACCTTGTTTAATAATGAAGTATACGCATTCTTATAATGTATTTTCATAAAGATACAAAAAAAGCCCTCCTTTCCTCAAATATTCCAATCATTTATATTTCTCTTCTTCCTAAAAAGCAAATTTTAAAACTAATTAATTTTGATTATTTTTTTAAAAATTTTTTCCCCCTGTTATACAGATTGGTCTAAATTCATGTTGTTTGAATATGGAGTTAGGATTCCTGAGAAATAGAATTGAAAAAAAGTCGGATATTTAAAATTTGATTTCTTAGGAACTATTTGATCAATTTCGCTAAAATATAGCATTTTTTAAAACAATGTAAAAAATGTACATATCACAATTGAATTTTTTTACGAATATTACAAATAAAATAATAAATATTTACGAAAAGTTATTTTTTAACAAAGGACCTTTATAATTATGGGAAAATTTTTTTAAAATTCGATTGAGTTACTTCTCATATTGTGGCTACCCCCAACACTTAGGGGTACAGAAATCCAAATCAGTCAAAAAAATGGCATGTTTATTCAGAGAAAGTACGTTTTAGTGTCTGATTTCGTAACTTGAAATATTGTCCCTGCACTTATTAATTAGCATATTTAAGTCACCTCCTTGAACCATTGACATGAGAAGAACGTGAAGATCTGATTATTATATCAAAAGTTATCAGGGTATTCCGTTTATTTATTTATTTTTTTGCGCACCTAACGTCTACAAACTTATGATTCAAATCTGTTAAATTTTTTTCTGCTTTTTCTCCAATTTGTTCCATTCTGATGCGAAGAGAATTTTTCATAATTTGATATTTTTTGGTCTATTTCTTAACTTTTTGCCTTTTTTTTTCACTGTTAAAAAATCAATTTTTTCTAGATATTCTTAAACTAAGACGTCAACTTCCTCTAATTTATTTCTCATTAAAGAATGTATTATTGTCGCTATTTTGTCTAGAGTTCTGTATTAATAACTATATGTATATTTTTTCTTATTATCGGTTATTATATAATGTTTGTAAAACTTAATTATATTAAAACCATCGGTTTTTTGTAAATAAAAAGCTAACGAAGTTATAAAATTTGATTGTAGCTATTTTATTTGTAATTGTCATAACAAATCGTAATTATTTACACTGTGATCTTTAATGAATTTATTATATCGCGATGATTTTATTGTTTTGGTATTAGCAAAGCATGATTATTTCTATAAACAATTAATTTTATTCAGTTTAAATTTTGAAAATAATGGGTAATCATCTGGTTATGTTATAGTTCTTCTTTAACTCAGAGACATTTGCTGTGCGTGCGTATTTTTGTTACCTAATTGTATTTGTTGCTTAATTAAACAAATTGTTAGAATTGTTATTGACCGTTGAAGAAGCGCAAGAGAATCTTCTTTAAATATGATAAAGCAAACTTTTTTTTTCTAACTAATGCTGATTTCGAACACACGTGAATGTATTACAATTAAAAAGAGATAATTTTATTGTTATAGTTAATTTTTTATTTATTTATTAATCTATTAAAAAAAATTGCATTGCAATCTTTTTGGAAAATTTTATAAACGTTGTTGAACAGCCGATCCAATTGTTTAAGTTTGCGACTGCTGATGTTCAACTTCGTAGCCTTGTAATTTTGAACCCGATTCAGAAGACAAGGGAACTCCTGTATCGAGCATTTTGGAGAAATTTGTCTTCGCGGAGGACTTTTTTGATTGAACTAATCCGCATTTGCGTTACATGGAGAGGAGGATTGCGAAAGCCTCCCGTGATTAGTCTGACGGCAAGGGTAACCAATGATCCGTCAAAGAAGATATTTTACGTCAACACCGTGGTAGGTGCAAGCCGGATACGGAAATCGTGTCGAGCAGTCACTGCTGGGAATCGAACCCGGCTCACTTCGTTGGAAGGTGAATTCTCTATCCCCTGAACCACCACGGTTCTTTATGCAATATTGCCAAAATGCTTAAATACTTCAAACGATGCTTTTATTCCGTATTGCATAAAAAAAGAGATTATAAATAGTTTAGGCAGGGCGCCAGTGCGAGATTTGCCATAGGCGCTTCTTTCCATAGATACGCCTCTGGGCATGTGACATTTTTAGCAGCAATCATTGGTCAATTTTCTTACGTTGCCATTCGGGGAGTTGTAACGGGGCTTTTTTTTGGTGCCGTGTAAGAGAAATATATATATATATATATAGATAAAATTCCTTACCATATGAATCAGAAGCGTTAATATCGCATCCAGCTTCTACTAAAATTGGACCAATATCTTCTAATTCATAGCGACATGCTAGAATTAAGGGAGTAGATCCGTCAATGGATTTAGAATTAATATCTATGTTTTTATGCTTCATCAAAATCTGTACAAAGAAAAATATCTTTTAAAAGTGGAAAAGTATGCATAAAAAAACATTTAATTTAACAATATTAACATTTTATTTAAAAGCATAAGAGATTCGTACTGCTATTGCTGGTTCAAAAATTTCTTAAGTTGTTTCTTGTTTTGACTTAGAATTTTTTTAAAACTTTTCATACTTTGAAAAATTCTGAATCTGATGGTTTTAGAAATATTCTGAAGTTATTTGAAATAGGAAATTTTACAGCAATATAACAAATAGCAGAAGTAGCTTTGAAAAATTTTCAAACTGTTAGTACTTAAAAAGAATTCTGACGTTGTTTGAACTTAAAAAAATTTAAAATTGTTTGTACTTGGAAATAATCTGCAACTGTTTAAACATAGAAATTTTTTAAAGTAAAAAAAACGGCTATTTAATGTGTAGCATAAGTTTAATTTTATAAATTTGTTTTCGACCTTTTCAAAAATTTCAAAAAATTTCAAATTGAAAAAAAAATTTCAAATTGACTTAGAAATGACTTCAAATTGACTTGTTGTTGGTACATAAAAAAAATTTCTAATTACTTATACAAAAAAATTTAAAAATTTTCTGTACCGAAATTATTATGGAGTTGAAGCTTTGAAATTTTTTAAGTTAGAAAGAAAGGTACATAAGATATGGCAGAAGTTTGGAGTTTAAAAATTTTCAACTTATTCGGACTTGTTTTGTGCTTAGAATTATTCTGAAATACTTTGAACGTTATAAATTATTTTAATTGGGGAGAAACGGGTATATAAGAAGTCGCAGAATGTTGCTTTCAAATAGGTTTGACTTCGAAAAATTTTCAAATTATTTGTACTCTCAAAATTTTTTTGATCTTTCTGTATTCGAAATATCGTGAAATTGCTTGAACATGAAAAAAAAACTCTTTTTTAGTTTAAATAATGGGTATATGAGGAGTCGCAAGAGTTCGAAGTCAGAAAAATTTTCAACTTGTTTTGGACTGGAAAAAATTATAAATTACCTATCCCCCCTAAAGTTGTGTGAACTGAGGAAAAAAAACTGGTATGTAAAGAGTAGCTGATGTTTGGTCATAGAAAAGTTTTCGATTTTGAAAATTTTTCGAACTTTGAATCTGTTGGCTTTTGAAAAATTCTGAAAGTGTTAAGAATTGGAAAAATTCTAATGTTCTTAATAAACTGGTCTGTAAGGAGCCACAGAAATTGGAAGTTAGAAAAATTTTCAAGCTGTTTACAGTTAGAAAAATTCTGATGTTAGTTGTTGGTACTTTGAATTAAAAAAAAATTTTTTTTTTGTACTTAAAAATATTTTGAAGATGTGTGAACTTGAGAGTTTTTAAAGTTAGAAAAAAAGGTATTTATGGAGTAGCAAAAGTTTAAAGTTAGAAAGTCTGTTTTAAAAATGTTCTGAAGTTGTTTGAATACAGAAAATTTTTTAAAGTTGGAAAAAACGGCTATCTAACAAACAGTAGCTCTTGGAGTAATTTTCAAATGTTTTATAATGATGGGTGAATGTTATAAAATTATTGTAAATATATAATAAAAATATATCAATTTAATTTCAACCAAATTAAAGAAAAAACAGATTTAAAGATGCGGAACAGATACAGAGCAGATCCAAGCAATTGAATTTAGCATAAATAAATAGTTTAAGAATTGTATTTAATTTCACTTTACCATAAATACATTTAGAGCATCGGCGCCAATTGCCGTATGGATAGGGGCTCTGCCAGTTCCATCAGGAGCATTCACATCTGCTACATTTCTCAACAAACTTTCGGCCTCATCTGCTCTGTCGTGCCTGGCTGCCACGTGCAAATTTGTTTCACCTAAAAACAATTTAAATATTCAGTTAAAATACAATGATTCTTTATGCATGCTTGACATACTTTATAAAAATCAGTATTTGTTATACTTTTAAGACTATAAATAATTTAATTTACTTTAAAAGGATTTTTGTATATATTTATAAAACACACTTATCTCTGGCTTAAATTGGGTCGTAATTAATACCATTCTAAATAATTGAATATTTGGTAATTATAATTTTATTTGTATGTGATGAGTAATTAAATGTACAACAAAATAACTACAATGGACCCAAATGTTTAAAATATGAATAGAAAAAAGTTATATTGTAAAAATATTATAGTGAAAGTAATTTTATTACATTTTTTAATAAGTAATTTTTTTTAGATTCATATTTTATTTAGAGTAGGAAATTTGATTTGATAAGAAAAGCGGTGCTATAGTTTTATTTCCCTTTAGGTATTTTTTTTAATTTCCAATGGCAGGGAATACGAACAATAACACAGAGGAACAATAAAAATAGAAAATAACAAAACATCGCAGTCATCTTCCCAAAAGTTCTCTCGCACGCGATCTTGCGGTCTCCGAGTCAGGTCCGTGGAGCCTCCTACAGGAATGGAGGTGCTCTCTATTCATTGGTGCTCCAGAACCACACAGTTGACACTGAGGGTGGTCATAAATACCTATACGATGCAGGTGTTCTCCTAGACAATCATGAGATGACCCGCTAGGAGACTTAAAGGTGGCTACTGCATCTCGGCGAGGCCTATCTGGCACTGCCTTAAGATCTGTCTCACTCCAGTTCTTATTCCTTATGCTTTCTCGTAGATTAGCAGCGACATTCATTTTCATTATGTTTTTAACATGTAGTTTTATGGAATGGTATGACAATCCAGAGCAACTTGGTAGGGGGATTTGTGTTCCCTTGCGAGCAAGAAAGTCAGCTTGCTCGTTACCATAGATGTTACAATGGCTGGGAATCCGCAGGATGACTACTCTTTTGTTTTTTAGTGCCAAAAGTCTGATAAGTCTCCGACACTGCAGCACTTCATCTGACAAAGTGTCTTCCTGTGAGCCGATCGCCTGGATTGCAGCCTGGGATTCTGACAGCAATACGACAAATTTTGAATGGATGGCCAACAGTTGTTTCAATTTCTCTTTAGGTATACAATTTAATATTTTGTAATAAAACAATTTAATATTTTTGTTTACTACAGTTTTTTTTTCTGATTAGAACAGTGCGAACCAGTACCTTGTTTTCCAATCTAACAAAGAAATAAAGAGTACTCCTTATTTTTTACCGTGTAAAGAAGAAACATAGTTTTGCATTTAAATTTGTTTAAATAGTATTTTTTAAATATATTATCAGAAAGTTTTCAATTTTGGGTGTACTTTAAAACTATTTTTTTCCAACAACTCTTACGCGATAGTATAAAATATTCATAGAAATAGATTATTTGACAAGTAATTTATAAGCTTAACAAGCTGCTGACGTTTAAAGTCGTTGGTATTTAAAGATAAACGTTTTTTAAATATAATCACGTTAAATTAATGGCAATAAAAAAATACTTATTTAAAACACGGAAATGTGTAACTGCTGAAATATTTTTGACGGGTAAGCACATGCTTTAATTGTCAACTGAATATTATCTATCTATACAGATACCAATAAATTTCTATCCAATAACAGGATTTTTCTTTTTAATCTAAATATTTATGAATACAATGTGTGACAATAAAATTTCTCTCATAGTCGCAATTCGTTATATTTAAGATGTTTAGTTCGTTTTTACTTCAAAAAGAGATGGGGGACAGTGGGCTTGTTTTCATTTCAGGAGACGCCAGTTTTTGGGCTCTTCCAGATGTGTCACCACGACCTCCTAGAAGAGGGGAATTTTTCGCTTTTTCTATCATTACCAGTGGTCAAGATCTCCATAGGTTAAAGAAAGATAACCTACTCAAACCATCGTAGAACTCATTGCTTTTTAAAGTTTCGACTTGTAGCCATAGAATAACACTCGACTTGAATCGCAAGCTTTAAGGCCGTTAGCACCGTTGCCAGCTTCAATCGACTTCTCAATGTTATTCTATGGGAGAACATAAATCACTTTTTCTCAATAATTTACAACCTGACAGCTCAATGTTTAATATTAATGAATAGATCTCATTTAAACAAACATAACTAATGTAAAAAATTATTTTAAAATTCTATTAATAATTTTTAAAACGAGTTTAAATGTGATTTTAGAGTAATTTTCAAGCGTTTTTCACAAAGTTACTTTTTTAGCTAAATTCACGAAATTTTTTTTTAAAAAAACTTATAAATATGTAGTTCAAAACTAATTTCAGCAATATGAAATTATACATTAGGAACTATTGCTAAAAAATGATTTTTTCCGGGGTATGAAACATTTTTCTACTCTGAAATCGTTCTTCAGTTCCTCCTTTTCTCTCCAGGAGGCTATCACTCAACCGTGAAGAAATCCCCCAGGCATGAAGAGGGGGACATAAGCGAATTTTCATGGTTGTCGTAAATAAACCTGTGATCTTTTTCGTAATGGTGGTTTTCAATGGTCGCCAAGAAACAAACATTCACAAGACCCTGACAAGAAGTAATCATTTACTGAAATGAGTGATTCAGATCTTATTTTCCTCCACGGCCTAAGAATATCTTTTTCAAGATTGAAATAATGTTTAACTATAAACCGTGAGAATTATTAATAAATAATTCACTCGTTTAAATAAATTGCACATTAAAGCCATTTTCAATTTTTAGGAAAAAGATAATTTCGTTTACAAAATTCTTCCTATAGTTTTTTGAAATTTAGTAATCAAAAATAGCTAGTTTCGGACAATTTTTTAATATCTTCTTCAAATTACTATCTAAATATTACTATCTTCAAAATTTTTTTTCGAGAAGGTATTTAAAACGGTAGACGGAAAAAAAGGTCCCGGAAAAAAAGGTACGGAAAAAAAGGTCCCGGTAAAAAAGGTCCCGGTAAAAAAGGTCCCTGGAAAAAAAGGTACGGAAAAAAGGGTCCCTGGAAAAAAAGGTCCCGGAAAAAAAGGTCCCGGTAAAAAAGGTACCTTCATAGGGAAAATCTGTAGGGATATTTCCCCTCTCGCTTTCAGGGCAGCATGAATGCTTCTCGCTGTTTCAATGAATATTCTTTTTATCTGTAATAAGTTAGATTAGATCATTGAGGTAAGGAGAAGGGTAAGGGGGGGGGGACTTATGGGCTGGTTGTATTACGCTTTTTTTTAAAATTTTATTTTATTTATTTATTCTTCTTTGAATATTTTTTAAAGCGGGAAGATACTATTTAAATTTTTCAATAATATTTTACTTTTTTTTTGTTAATTTTTTTAAGTGAAAAATGTGTTATTTTCTATCTTAAATTATATTTTGTGAGGAAGTTGCTACTGTGAGGCTTAAAGTAGCCAATCGGGGAAGTTGGGAGAATTTATGTGTTGGATGTTTATTCGTGATTGGAGGTGAAGGTATTGGTCCTTTTTAATTAATTAAAAACGCGCGACACGAAAAATAAAACATGCACGGAACAGCAAAATGCGCTTCAATCTAATCTTCTCATTTCAAATATTTTCCCCTACAGAATTTTCCCTACACAGGTACCTTTTTTACCGGGACCTTTTTTTCCGGGGACCTCTTTTTCCGTACCTTTTTTTCCGGGACCTTTTTTCCAGGTACCTTTTTTTCCGGGACCTTTTTTTCCGTACCTTTTTTTCCGGTACCTTTTTTTCCGTCTACCATCTCGATTACCATTAATCGGTTATTAAATTCATATGCCATTAAACAGTCGTTATTATTATTTTTTTAAATTCTTTTTATCANTGATCTTAGAAAATAAATAAACAATTTTATTGAACATTTTCATATTTAATTAACTTTTTAAGAATAAATGCATAAATAAGAAACAAAAGTTGGATAAAAAGCTCTTTGAACACGCGCGACACGCAAAAAAACATGCACGGAACAGCAAAAAGCGCTTCAATCCAATCTTCTCATTTAAAATATTTTCCCCTACAGAATTTTCCCTACACAGGTACCTTTTTTACCGGGACCTTTTTTTCCGGGGACCTTTTTTTCCGGGACCTTTTTTTCCAGGTACCTTAAAATCAAACTAATAGAAAATTTGCTTGAAAGTCGTACATTTTCTTATTTAATTTCTTTTGTACTAGAACAAATAGTTCGGCTACGTTCAATATATTGCCCTATTTTTGCCTTAAGAAAATTAATATCGTTTTACTTACATTGATATCTCCAAACACACTTTTGGCGTAAAGTTCCCGCATGACAACATAGTGCAACATTATAAATTAGTTTTCTATGTGCTTTATTATGCATTGTGCTTTTGGATCAGGTTATTGCATCTTTCAACGCTCATACGGTCCATATTATACTTAAAAAGGGGTGTCAATGTTCTAATAAAAAGAGTAAACAACTTAACATTTTTACTTAGCATTCACTTTGAAATTAAAATTGTCATATTTCGTCACTATGTATAATTATTTGAAATTATAAGGCGTAGTTGTTGATAAAACTTATAACGATGCGTAATTGTCGTCCTTTTTAAGGTTTGTATGAATCCTGAATTATCTTAAACTCTTCCACTGATATTCTGATCTCAGAGCAAACATCGCCTACAACTATTTAGCTACACATTTATGCCTACTGCTTTCGTTTTGATCAAAACAAAACCAAATATCTGCTGCAACTCACTATCCAAAGTGCAATAATATGAATTATTTTGACATATAAAGACATAATAGCTTTTAACTGCTAATAAAACGCATTCATTGTACTAAGAATCTGAATGTCAACTTAACTTATCGACATTAATGCCAGTAAAATATACTTGAGACAAGATTTGACATCGCAGATAGCATACGAAACACAATGGGCTGGATAGATTTTATTGTTGCTCAACGTGTGCATTCTACAGAAAAGACAAATACTATCTTTATTTTTTTTTATTTCTGGAAAACATTTAACATAACGTAACGTAACGTCACAAAACGTAAGTGTCCCGTTTTACGTTACCTCAGTTTGAAGTTCCATGACATTTATTTATTTAAAGTGACATTTCCTTTTTATTTAATGAATTATGGTTGAGAAATAAGGTTCTAATTTAAATTTTTAAAATCAATCATTTTAATAATCCCAACATAAATTCCATTGACGAAATTGGCATCTATGTAAGCGTTTTTAAATTTTGATGCTTGATAATCTTTTCATTTTTATTAATTAATTGTTAATAGTTAATGATATCCTAATGATATTTATTTAAAATTTACAAATATGTATTAAATTTGTTTATAGCAAGAGAGGAACAAGATTTTTTATCAAACAAGTTGAAAACAAAATTAATTTTTTTTTCCTGAAAATTATAATCGAACTAAAAACTTGTTTACTCAATGAAGTTTGATAGAAATTATGAGAAAGCTCTGTTTTGCAGTATCGTACAGTTAACTTAATTTTACGTTGCGCTATATTTTCCTTTATCGCGAGCATATGGTTATTTTAAGAAACTTTTGGTTTTAAATTTCTTATAGTTTTTTTTTGTTGTTGTTGGCATTATTGCGAGAAGTAATAAAAATTGTATTTGCTATAAAATATATAAATTTTAAGTATTTTGAGTCAATACGAATCTTAAAACTATTTCAGAGTTTAGGAGGTTTTATTATTAGCGACTCGAGTGAGCTCTCTAAAGAAATCCATCCAGAGGTCAATCCAAAGGTTGACCTCTCGGACAACCCTTGCTTCACACAAACGCTTTCTCCTATTCTTTTGTAAATAAGAGTAAAGATGTTTGGCTATTTCAGAA